GACGTTGAAAAGTCAAAATAGTGGTGTTACAACTGATATCACCAAACCTCAGCAACATTTGTACTGGGATGAGCTGTAGAGCAGAAAATGAAAGTCAACACTTTGTGACCAACCAGGTAAAACAGCAAGGTCGGATTGTGAGTAAGGTACATATGCGGAGAGAGTTGATTCTGTTATCACAGGGAACCTCGAAGCTGCCCCTGTCGGAGATGATCGGTAATAGTGAATACAATAGACAGGAATGAAAAATTTCGGTTTTATGGTTTTTGTAGCTTTTGTGTTGAGAACAAGTGGTAGAATAATGCGCAACAATATATTCCACGTAACGGCTTCTTTAATGGTTGAGGTTAGCTATGAGCACGAAGAATAAACTTAGGTTGGATAAAGTACGAGCTACTTAACACTGAGAACGTTGTGGTTTAATGGACTTCGCGACCGTGGCGGTTGTGCTTTACCAGTATCGATGGTGGTGTTGAGGGTGTTTCTCAGCGGATGTTGTTTGCGCTGCGGCTACATTAGGAGGGTCCGTAGCTGGAGTAGTTGAACCAGAAAAAGCGTTGTTTTCTAAAAACGCCAGTTTGAGTCGATCTATACTAATGGACTCCTCCCTGTTGTTAACTTCTACTATTGTGTACTTGTCTTTACGCGTAATAACCTTATGGGGACCGGTTTATGGGCCTGTCTACACGAGTGAGAATGTGCGTGCAACGGGTAAGATCTTTTGGTACTGTTCTCTGCCGTGTGGTAGCAGTGCACACTTCACGCATGTAATACGCGAGCCGTTGTGCAAAATTTGCGTAGTTAAAGCTACGCTGTGGTTACGTAAGACCAATCCACCTTAAAAACGTAACTTGCAACCCAAGGCCAGTGCAGCCGGTGTAGTCTTCAAGTCGGTTTTCATCGTATTCCGAATGCCTAGCTGGACAAGTGGAAGAGTTTCATACAATTCTGACTCGGGCTGAGCCTTGAGAGCTGCTTTGAGTTGTTTATGGAAAAGCTCGACTAGACCGTTTGCAGCCGGTTGGCATGCGGTTACGAGAGCGTGTTTACACCCTAGCATAGTGTATAGCGCTTTGAATACCCCTTCGAAATGAGAGTATCTATCGGTGGTGAGGGTCACCAGGAAGCCGTACGTTACTATCCGACCCCCTAAAACACCTTAGCTGTCGTTTCGTATGAGCACTTATGGACTGGAATTGCCTCCGACCAACGGCAGAAGCGAGCAACGCAAGTCAATAGGTATGCGAAGCTTTTTGACGGTGTGAGTGATGTGGACATGCTGGAACCGAGCGGTTGGTGTGTCGAACCTACCTAACGGTGTCTTGGTTTAACGTAAGACCCTAGACTGTTGGCACTCCAAGGAAGAACGTGCCCATGTAGCTACATCACGACTCTTCACAGGCCAGACGAAACGATCTGTTACGAGCTTAACTGAGGCTCATATTCCTGGGTGAGCTAAGTTGTGCAGGGCAGTGAAAACCTGTTTTCTATACGTGTGGTTCCACTGGGTGTGCCCGTGGATACGTCGCACCTTTTGAGCAAAATAATTTCACAGCATCGTCTTAGGTGGCACGTCATACGAATGCCTGATCAACGTCTGCCACACCGTGCACTATTCGCAGACATCGGTCCAGGCTGGAAGAATTAGCGAGGCGGTCCGGCTGCGACGTGGCGCAGAGGGTTGAAGAGACTGCTCGAATCTGGCTTCCGTTGTCAGTAAACTGAGTGACCTTAGTGGCGTGACTCTCTAGGGGAGTATCTGTCTGAGATAGCTACGAAGATGGGTGGTTTGTGATCCGTGAAGGCGGTAAAATGCCAATCTTCTAGCATGTGATCAAAGTGACGGATAGCTAGGAAGGTGACTAAGAGTTCGCGACCGAGACTCACCCGGTTGCAAACATTTGGAGAAAAATGCTCCAGGTTGCTACTCTTCTTCCACGCGTTGCTGTAGTACCGTATCTACTGCTCCGTTGGATGCGTCTGTGGTGAGTGCCAAAGGTACGCCTGGGATGTGATGTGAAACTGCCGTTCTGTTGGAAATAGCCTGTTTGATTTCAACGAATGCTTTGCGAGCCTCGTCGGTGAACGTGATCTGTTTCGAATTACCACGCAGTAAATCGGTGTGGTTACGTAAGCTTGGTGCAGTAGGTTATAAACATTGGTAAAAATTTACTAAACCATCAAAACTTGGGATCTGTTTGATGCAAGGCGGTTCTAGATATACCAAAATAGCTGTTGTTTTGCCTTTAAGTGGAAAAATACTCATACCGTAGATCAGGTGACCCAGGGCGTTTGCGCTACTCTCACCAAAGGAGCACTTCACTGAATTATTGATGACATCGTGTTGTGTCAGATATGCAAATAGAGCGCCTAGATGTTGTTTATGTTCCTCTAGTGTTGAATTAACGGCCATGATGTCGTCCAAGTAAGCGAAGGTGTTGTCTAGGCTATTAAACACTGAAAAGTTTGAGCTGTGTTTCTGTAATCGAAAGGCATACGCGGAAACTCAAAGAGACCAAAAAGCGTGGTCTCAGGGGTTTTTGGGATCTTCTGATGAGGGTACCAGGATTTGGTTGTACCCTCGAACTAGATCTATTTTGCTGACGACCTTACACCCTCCTAATCTTGCTGTCAGATCTTAGATTTGTGGTATTGGATATCGTTTTCAGTTTCTACCACTCTTTAACCATGCACTTTCGTGCGCCGGTTTTGGTTGCCCATATGGATGAAAAATAGGAGGAAGACAGAAAAGTCGAGTCGGGCAGAAAATGGAGAATTTCAGTGATCTAAGGTTGCAAAGAAATCGAGAAAATACATGAACGCTACTGTCTACGACACAGCCATACCACTGAGTGTGTCTAACCCTCAGTTATGATCATCCCGAGATCCCCATCCAGGGAGTCTAACGGGCCTATGTGACCGAGTACATTGGTTAGGGATTCCATACCCTCGTGTCAGGTCTGAGGCTGATCACTCATTACCTGCCGCAGCGAACATCCCTCGCCGTGGCAACCTATTTGGTGGCATGCTTAACACATGCCGAAACCACTGTAATCTATGCAGGTCGACCACTTGCTCCAGTGGTAGACAGCTTTGCTGTCGCCCGGTTTAATACCACACTTGGCCTTATGTGGTTTGCCACTCTAAACCTCGGGGATCAGATTACCGGTTACCATCACTGAGTAGCAGGTCTTCGTGACTTGAATTGACTTTTGATCGACTAACTCCTGCGGGTGGATAAGTCAAATTCCTGGATGTCTAATGATGGCGGCCCATGCATAACAGTCGGTAGCAAGATTGACGCAGTTCCAGTTTGTAGAACCATTAGTCATGCACTATCGTGCGCCGGTTTTGGCTACCCATTTGGATGGAAAATAGGAGAAGACAGGAAAGTTAACGCAGTGAGAAACCCAGCTGTGAATTTCATGTACGGATTGAAAACCCAGTTATTCCAAATCCCCTTTGATCGTACTACTCCAGGTCTTCAGTTGACCATCGAGTCGGCAACGTCATCCACGGTATTGTGCGGGGGCTACAGCCTGTCGCGAGAGCTGAGTGTCGGACCTTCGGAGCACATGACCAAACCACTGAAGGCGCCAGTGCTGTGGCATTTTCGAAAGCTTGTCAATGTTCAAGCAGCGCCGTCGAACCTCATCATAGGAAATCCGATCTTTCCAATTTACTTTCAAGATGCGGCGTAAGCACCAATGATCAAAGACTTCAAGATTCCTTGTATCTTGTATTCTTAGCGGCCAAGTTTGACAACGATAAGTGAGGACGGGACGGATGGAAGCCTGAAAAACCCGAAGTTTATTGTTTAAGCCTATTCTGCATCGATTCCACAACGGTTTGAGGAGTTGTAAGAAGAGTATTCTAGCTCCATCTACACGGAGTTGGGTTTCATCCCTAGGCTGGACGTTTGGTCTTATGGTAGAGCCAAGGTACTAAAAAAACTTCCGTTGATTCAACAAGCTCCCCGTTAATCGAGAGGGGTTCTGTCATGGTATAAGTTTCGGTCGAAAATGTTTTCGACGTGTGGCACAGTGGTATAGTCGCTGTCACCGGCGTGCTTTGGACCATATGGTCCGAGGTTCGAGCCCCGCCACCCGACTTTGGTGGTAGGCAGCTCTGCTGTCGTCCGGTTCAATACCACGCCTAGCCTATCGGAGCCTTATGTGGTTCGCCACTCCAAATTCGGGGACTTAGGTTGTCGATTTCAGCCACTGAACAGCAGGTTCTCGTGACTATGGGGTTTCCCCCGTCTGTGGTTCATCACACCTATCGTCGTGCAGGGATAGCGGTATCGATTTACTCCCAGGAGGCCGACTTTCTGATCTAGACTACGCAGACGTCATTGTGCTACTGAGTGACGATCCAGGTAAGTTGCAAGCATTTCTGGATAACTTGAATGCCAGTGTAGCCATATTCGGTATGCGTTTTGTACCTTAAAGTGTAAAATGCTACTGCAAGATTGGGTTGATCCAGCACCCAGTCTCACCCTAACTGGAGAAGTAATAGAGCAGATGGATAAGTCTCGTTATTTGGGCAGCTACATCTCACCCGGTGGAGGCATCGCAGATGAAGTGTCGGCGCGCATACAAAAGGCTCGGTTGGCATTTGCTAACCTGAGACATCTGTGGCACCGTCGTAACATCCGGCTGTCTGTGAAGGGTCGAGTGTATGCTGCAGCAGTTCGGCCAGTTCTGCTCTACGGTGCAGAGACTTGGCCACTAAAGGAACAGGATAAAATTAGATTGTCGGTGTTCGAACTCCGCTGTCTACGTAGCATTGCACGTGTCTGGTGGGGTAACCGGACTAGCNNNTTGTCGACCTCCATAGATGACGTTAGTTGGGACATGTGTTACGCATGTCACCAGATAGGTAACCACGGCGAACGATGTTTGCCAAGGCTGGCAGCGATTGGGAAAAAAACGAAGGGCGGTCAAGGCCTGACGNNNCATAGGCCTCGTTAGGCTCCCTGGCTGGGGACCTCGGGATGATGGTCACCGATGGTTAGCTACACAGAGTGATATGGCTCGGTGTCGCAAACAGTGGCGCTCGTTATTTTTCTAACACCACTCTATATGTATTCCCCATCTTCCGCTTGAATTTTCTTCGACATTCCAATCTTCATTTCGCACTTTTATCCAAATGGGCAACCAAACCTGGCGCACGAAAGTGCATGGTAATGGTTGTAAAAACTGAAGCTGAAACACCTGGGTGTGTAATAAAAAAAAACCAATGCACTGGGCAAACTGATTTATACGACTAACTGTAGTAGATTTATTATTGTCCTTTCTGTTGCCTAGATTGTTGTAATTCTGGGCGCATATTATAACATTTCGCTTGTCCCGTTTTAGCTCTCGTGCCTCGTTTTTGATCATTCAAAGCCTATCGTTAAGGCGTTGTTTTCTGTCTTATCTGCCGACTAAACGTGTGATCTGATACACTACAAGTTTTCGTCAATCACATAACCTACTACCTTACAATTTAATCGACCAATTACAATGGACCGACATCTACGCCCGGATCGTTTTGACACGGATCCAAACTCTCCAAATGGTGCCGATTCCTGGGAACACTGGTATTATACGTTCACTAATTTCCTAGGACCTGTGGAAAAGCATAAACCAGACAAACTTAAAGCCCTCATGCACTTTTTGCCGCCTACTGTCTACAAATTCGTTTCACGATGCACTGATTATGACTCTGCCATTACGACGCTTCAATTCCTATACATTCAAACGAAGAACGAGATTTTCGCGTGTCATCTTCTGGCGACCTCGAGACAGAGCACCATTGAAACTCTAGATCAGTTCATGCAAAAGTTCAGAAACCTTGCTCAATACTGCAATTTTAAAGCAGTCAGCGCAAAAGAAAACGAAGAGGACGCCATATGTGACGCGTTTATCAGCGGGCTATTATCAAACCCCATCCGTCAGCGGCTTTTTAAAAATAAAACACTCGATGTGAGTACCGCTTATGACAAGGTCAAAGCTCTCGATCTAGCTCAACAACAGTCTCAAACATTCGCCCAAGCCACTCCTTCAATCTACGCTGCCGCTGTAAGCGTCCTGGATCAGAAACCTAAGACGAACAAGCTGCTTCTTTTGTGGTTATAATCGACATCCTCGTCGCAAGTGTCCTGCAAAAAATGCAACTTGCAAGTCACGTGGCAAACGGGGACATTTCCAGAAAGTTTGCCTGGCTCCTGCCAACTCAAAGCATACCGCAGCTACCCCACCGTTCCTCATCTTCTCCATCAGTGCAGCCGCAGCCCCTGCAGGCTTTACTAAGGCTGTTACTGATGAAACAGTCAACGGGTTAGCATTGAAAGCTCTGGTGGACACAGGAAGCTCAGGAAGTTACGTATCTGAGGAGATCGTTTTCCGGAACAAATGGTCGACATTGACATAGTAAGATTGTCCTGGCTACCACCCGTAAGACAACCTGTACCAGGGGTCATTGTTTCGTCTCCCTAATACATAAAGTACTCTGCATGAAAATGCCAAACTGTCCGTTCTCCCCGATTTATGTGCTGACGTACTACTAGGACATGACTTTTTACAACAATACAAACCAGCAGAAATACCTTTCCAAGGAATTCAGCCGCCGTTTTCTCTCTCAGCCGCTAATCTTCCCTCCCTTTTCGCACATCTTGACTCCTCTTGCCGTCCTATTTGCACAAATTCGAGAAAACAGCTGCTACGATGAGAATTTTATTCGTTCAGAGGTCGCTATGTTATTGAAGGACGGTATAATCGAACCTTCCGGATCACCATGCCGGTCCCAGGTCATGGTTACAACCAACGAACGCCAGGAACGACGGATGGTTGTCGATTGTAGTCAGACAATTACCCGGTTCACCCTTTTAGATGCTTACCCGCTACCCCGTATTGATGACTTAGTGGGTAAAATTGCGGAGTACGGCATTTACAGCGCCCTAGACTTGAAGAGTGCGTACCACTAAATACCAATAAAGAAAAATGAGCGATATTATACAGCCTTCGAAGCATGCAATAATCTTTATCAATTTCGCCACGTACTGTTTGGAGTAACCAACGGCGTCGCCTGTTTTCAGCGCACCATGGATGAGCTTGTTCGACGTGAAGGGCTCAAAGAAACCTTTGTATATGTAGACAACATCACTGTCTGTGGGGGAAAAAATCACGGACCACAACATGAATCTGGAGAGGTTCCTGCAGGCGGCTGCCAAACATGGTTTAACACTAAATAACAGCAAGTGCGTATTCACCTCCG